TGTTTGCAGTTTGCATTTCCTAGGGCGTATTCTCCACTGACAGTCTCTTTCTCTTCTTCGGAGATGCTAATGACCTGAGTGTTAGACCTTTTGTTATATTTATTCTCACAAGTCCCTGGGCTCTATTTATTCATTCATTCAACCTGTATTCTCCCTGTTTTTGAGATTGGGTAATGTCTATTGTTCTTTCTTTGGGTTCACTGATTTTTTTTTGTCCTTTCCATTCTGCCATTTAACCCACTAATTATGATTTTAAATCCTGATTACATGCTTTTCAGCTCTATAATTTCCACTTGTTTCATTTGCTAAAGTGTTATATTCCTTTGATAATGCTTTCTTATTTGTTTCAAGGATGTTCATAAATTCTGTCGAAGCATTTTTATGATGGTTGCTGAAAATTTTTCGTTAGATTATTCTACTTTCTCTCATCTTGGTGTTTGTGCCTGCTAATTATCATGGTTTTCATTGAAGTTGAAATTTTCTTTATTCTTGGAAGGGCCAGTGACTCTCAGATGAAATCTAGATGTAAGCCTTCCACTTTAGCAGGCTTTGACAGCACACTGCAGGGAAATGGGAATCACTGCCTCATTACTGCTAAGTGGTGGTGGAAATCTGGAGTTTGTGAGACAGTCTTACTGAACAGTCCAAGTGACCTGGAACCCACAATCCTCCTGCCTCAGCCTCCTGAGTTCTGGCATGATAAACATGCACCTTCACACTCAGCAGAAGTCCAGTTTTCACTTGACCTTGTATAGCACCTGAGGGAGGGGCATCCTTATGACCTCTGAACAGTGCTGGGAACTCTGGCTTCCTTGAATCCTTTGTGGCCAGGGTGCATAGAATTGCATTATTGAGCCACATACGGCCTTCACTGACACCATACAATAGAGGCTGTCTCATTACTAGGAGGCAATCAAAAAAGTTCTGATTCCTGACAACTCAACTCTGACTACCTCACTTTGGCGAGAAAGGGAAAACTGTTGTCTGTGAAATTGCAGCCTCCCCAATTCTTTCTGTCTGACACTCTCGTTATGTTGGTAGAGAAAAATGCCCTGACCTTCTCTTTTCCACACATGGTGTAGGGGCCTCGTGGTGAAGATGGGCTTCCACTGACACCATACAATAGAGGCTGTCTCATTACTAGGAGGCAGTCAAAAAAGTTCTGATTCCTGACAACTCAACTCTGACTACCTCACTTTGGTGAGAAAGGGAAAACTGTTGTCTGTGAAATTGCAGCCTCCCCAGTTCTTTCTGTCTGACACTCTCGTTATGTTGGTAGAGAAAAATGCCCTGGCCCTATAATGGACCTTCTCTTTTCCACACATGGTGTAGGGGCCTCGTGGTGAAGATGGGCTGTCGCGTGGCCTTGTACAATAGGTAGAACTGTTTTCTTCAGTTCTGTTATAGAACTGCTATAGCAGGATGGCTGTCACCTAAAAGCTTCCTTCCTCTTAAAGCTGCAGCACTGTGGTCCTCTGAATAGGGGGAACAGGCTTCTTGTGGGCATTTTCTCTCTCTATATCCAGTGGTGTTTCCAAGTTGCTCTTTTCTTTAGCTGTGCATCTGGAATGTATGAGCTAGAAAGAATCCCCAAAGACCTTACCACTGTGCTGTCCCTTGGGTTCCAAGAACCCTAATTAATCTTTCTTCTCTCTTCCTTTCAAAGGCTCTTTTTGTTTATCTTCTATATAATTTCCTCTGTTCTTAGTTCATTTTGACATCAGGAATAAAGAAAAGTATGTTTACTTTATCTGCACTTAAGTTTTTTTTAATGTTGACATGCAGCTCTATCCATCCATCCATGCAGCTCTATTTTTAAAAAGTATTCTATTTATTATTTTTATTTTATGTGTATGCGTGTATTGCCTGCACGTAGGTAAGTGTACCCATGTCGTGCAATGCCCGCAGAGGACAGAAGAGGCTCCAGGAATTGGAATTACAGACGGTTGTTAGCAGCCATGTGGGTGCTGGGATTCAAACCCGGGTCTTTATGTATTTTTAGAATTTTGGCTATTTAGTTTTTTAAAATAGTTTAAAATCTTTGTAATTGAGTTTTTGTACATTTCATATAATAGATCATCAAATTTAGGTCCCCTCTCCCCATTCACCCCCCACCCCGTAGGCTCGGATTTCATGCATTGTCTCATATATGTTAAGGCCCATCCGGTCAAGCATTTGTACCCAGATGTCCCTCAGTGCAAGTTTATTCACTAGAGTCTAGTCAGCCTATCTAGAGTCACTTCCTTAAAAAAGATCAACTCTCCCTCACCCTGCAGTAATTAGTTGCCAGTAGTTTCTTGGCTAAGGCTGGGCCCACTGCCCATTCCCCAGTTCTATGCTGGGTTTTTGTCTGATTGAGTCAGCGTGGGTCTTATGCATGCTGTCACCATTGTCGCACATTCCCAGAGGCCTGAACGTCTGTTTTCTTATGTTCATGCACCAACCCTGGCTCTTAACAATCTTTCTGTCCCCTCTTCTGCAATGGTTCCTGAGCTGTAGGTGAGTGTGGTTTAATATAGGATTAATATCCACTCTACAGTCTCTTATTCTCTAAAACTTGGCCACTTGTGGCCTTCTGTGTGCATTGCACTTTGTTGTATGAGGAAGCTTTGCTGGTGAGAGCTGAGGGATGTATTAGTTTTCTCTCTACCCCTGTTCTGCTATGGTCCATGAACCTTACGTGTAGAGGTTCCACTGTAGATGTGTCACTTAGGGCTGGGCATCTCTCAGATGTATATTCTCTGTGTGTGACCAATTATGCAACTATGCAGTAGCCTCCATCTGTTGCAAAAAGAAGCTTCTTCGATGAGTGGTGTACAGTAGACTTGTCTGTAACTATAAGGATCCATATTTAGAATATGGTAAGAAATTTAATTGGCCTAGAGATATGCCAGAGATAGGATTTTCTCTACGATTTATGATCTCTCCTGCCATGTGTATTTGGCTAGGTTTATAGTGCCACCCATGAGTTCCTGCCCATTGATAAGGCTTTACGTGTAGATAGATAGCTGTTGATTACCCCCTAGATAACAGTGCTACTACTGCACCAATAGAGGTAGTTTGCTGTGCCAGTCACTGTGGTTATTAGGTTTTACAGATGAATTGGAACATTGATTGATTTTCTCCCTTAACAGCTTACATAGTATCCTTCACAACTATGAGAGCTAGTCTTGAAGGAGGAGACATCCAGGTCAGTTCCAGCTCCACTGTTCCAAGTCCTGTGTCTGAAGTATGTCGTATCTTCAGCAATAGGGTCTTTAAGTTCTGGGAGGCAATCAAGGGCTGTGGCAATAGCCTCTGTTATTTAGGGAGTCTCTTGGACTGCCTTGACCAATAACTCGAAGGGAGCTTTCTCCTGTCTGGCACTGTGTTTCTTGTCATACGGCCTTCAGGTATACACATGCACTCATCATGTGCAGATATTGTATGTGTATTTTTCAGTAGGTTTTTGAGCTAATACATTTCCCTCTGATTTTTCACACCATTTAATCTTTATTCATCTCTCCTCTCTCTCTCTCCATGTCTAACCTCCCTCCTCTCATCCTAAAGTCCCCCCATTTCCCCTTGATAATACCTGTCTCCTATCCTCCCTCTCTTGAGTTCCTTCCATTTATCCCATGGCTCCTTGTTTGTCCTCCTCTCCTCCCTTCCCAGTTGAATATCCCCATTTTCCCCATTTTAGGAATGCACTGAAATTTTTATAGTAAGCACTTATTAAGTAGTATAATATGGGACTAGTAGTCCCCAAGTTGGTACACATCCTTGACATCTGTATGTTGCCTTGCATTGGAGGAAGGACTTTTCAGAGAAGATCACAGTCCTATCATCAAATGAGATTATCTTGGTTAATCAGATTGGGCCCAATCTACACGCATAGTACTTGAAAGGTCCGAGAGGCATAATGTAACTGTCTTTGAAAAGGAAAGGTCAGGGTAACTCTTTTTTTAAAATTTTATTTATTATTTTTATTTTATGTGTATGCATGTATTGCCTGGATGTAGGTAAGTGCACCTGTGTCATGCAATGTCCCCGGAGGTCAGAAGAGGCTCTCAGATCCCCTGGGACTGGAGTTACGGACAGTTGTTAGCTGCCATGTGGGTGCTGGGATTTGAACCTGGGTCTTCTGCAAGACCAACCAGTGTTCTTAACCCCTGAGCCATCTCTCCAGCCCCAGGGTAACTCTTAAGAAGATGCAGAAGTCAAGAAGACAAATTTCTCTCTGGTACCTCCAAAAAAGAATATTGTCTCATCAACTTAGTTTTAGTTCAGTGACACAAGTAACATCCTCTAACTCACAGAATTTTAATACAATAAATATGTGTTATTAGAAGCCATACTATTTTTATAGCAGCAACAAACTAATATACTAGTAGTACAGTGGTCACATAAAAACAATAATAAAACCAGACCTTTATCTGAAGACTGATAACTCTTATTTCAATGTGAATATTGAAGTATGGAGAGTTACTGCTGTTGTTTTAATGTGTCCCCCCTAAAGTTCATCTGTTGGAAATTTAATCCAGAAATTTATATGTTAATGTTAGTTACAAGTGGGCTTTGGGGAGGTAGTTAGAGAACATCATGAGGATGGGGCTCCCATTTCAGATTGTTAAAAAGACCTTGCATGCTTCTTATATCTGGCCATATGATGCTTCTTTTCATGTAGTGGACAGACAGCAAGAAGGCCCTCACCAACTGTAGCCCCCTGACTGAACTTTCCAACCTTCAGAACTCTAAGAAATAAATCTGACTTTATTTTTTACTGAATCTGTAGTGTTGGGGTTTGTGCATACAAATGTATGTTCAAGTATGTGCAGGTGCAAGTGTGTGTTTATGAGTTCACATGTACATTTAGTGTGTGCATGTATGTATGTAGAGGCCAGAGGACAACCCCTGATGTCTTCTTCCTCAGGCTTCTCACCTTATCTTTTGAGACAGAGTCTATCTTAAGGACCTGGGACTCACTCATTAGTTTAAGCTGGCTAGCCAGCAAGCCCCTGGTATCTCCAGCCCGTCTCTGACTCCCCAGTGCTAGAAACAGAACCGCCACACCCATCTTTTCACATCGGTTCTTGGGTTCAAACTACTCAGGACTTTATGCTTGCACAGTAAGCACTTGAACAACTGAGCCATCCCCTAACCTGTTAATCTATAGTTTTCTGGTAAATTAACAGGTAATGAATTAATATATACACATATTATCTCAGATTACCATTGTTTATCTCCAGAAAAACAATGTATATTTCAAAGATTAAGAATTCTAAAATGAGTTATATGTTTGTATTTTCTTTGTGGATAAAAGATTCAATAAATGACTGCAAGTTGTTAGAAACTGGATGAAAATACTTTTTAAATCTTCAGAATGCATGCTCCATCTACTGTTACTTGGATAGTTTGTCAATCAGTCATGTTTATATTTTACAGCTAGTGAATCGAGTTCCCTAATGGATATAGAAAATGTAATTCTGGCTAAGGTTCATGAAGGTGAGGAAGACCATTCAGAAGCAATATTAAAATCTGAGAAGCTCCAGCAGGACTTATTTTTCATGGAACGGGTTCTGATGGAAAATGTATTTCAGCCAAAGCTTGCAACTTATCGTCAGCTCCCTATTTTAAAAGGTAAAAGAAAAGAGCCAGGAGCTCCCCCAAACCCATGTTACCCCTGAGGAACAGATCCTCAAACAACCTTAAGAGTAAAAATAAATTGTTTTATCTGGGCCAACCGTATGGTCTTAAATACCCAAAAGGAATGTATAACCAAAGATTAATGGGGTCAATATAATTTTTAAGAGTCCGTATGTATAGCTAAAGGCTACATAACAAGAAACAATGCCAGACAGGTGATACCTTCCTTTGAGTTATTGGCCAAGGTAGTGCAAGAGACTCCCAGACAGTAACCCAGCATAGAACTGGGAAAATGAACAACAGACCCTAATCTTATCTAAAGGAATATTGACAACTGATTGCTGCTAGATGAGGAACAGCTGATCTTCCTAAAACAAGGATCTCTAGATAGGCTGACTAGATTCAGCAGATGGATGAGCACTGGAGAATGGCTGAGGGCGCCAACAACACAGTAGACAGTAACAGGGATGACAGAGTATATGAGCTCCAGTATGTGGGAGGGGGAGGCCATGGGGTGTGCCATTTGGAAAGTGGATATATAGATGAGTAAGATTGTGTGGGATGTTCTGTATGATATACACACAGAAAAATCAACAACTTAAAATAAAGACATTTGAGGAGGAAGCATAAAAATTTACTTCATGTTAAATAGTAGAGGTGATAAACATTACCATTGAAATCTACCTGATGACTTTATATACATACTCAGGTACTAAGAATCCGAGTGTAACCAACTGTGACTAGTAATCATCAGATACATAGAGATTAAAGACACATGTGCAAACATCTAAGCTTTAGTAGCATTAAAAATGTAGGAAACAGCATATTTTAAAATGAAATGGAGATCTTCTTTAAAGGGTAAAAACTCATTCAGTTTTATATCTTACAAAATAAAGATAGAACTCTAATTCAACTGTGAACCTAAAAATTTACAGCCATTTTTGAAAGAGATGTATCCTTGCTCTGGAATATGTTACTGAAGATGTTAAAGCGGTGATGAAGTGCTTCTTCTAATCATGTGGTTATTAAATTAAAAAAAATTTTAAATTCTTCAAAGCATAAAAACTTGCTTCTTAATAATTAGTAGATGTGAAAAACATTACTGTTGAAATCTACCTGATAACTTTATATCCATGTTCAGAGACTGTGACTAGTAATAATTAGATACATAGCGATTAGGGACATGTGCAAAAATCTAAGTGTTAGTAACATTAAAACTGATTCTGTATGAAACAGTATATTTTGAAATGAAATGATCTTTTTTTAAAGGTTAAAACCTCATTCAATTTTATGTCTTGTAGAGTTTATACTGAGTACAATATTGTATAACTGTAATAATTTAACTGTAAACCTAAAATTTTACAGCCAATTTTGAAAGAGATGCATCTTAGCTCTGGAAATTGTTATTGAATGTCAATGTTGTTGTAATGAAATGCTTCTTCTAAGTATGTGGTTATTAAATAAATAATTTTTTAAAAAGTAATAAATAAAAAAAGGCCACATGCAAAATTCATGAATGACATCAAAAGGTTGATTTGCTTTATTTATTGAGGGCACCAAGAACGCACTTCTGTGTAAAGTGGCAGCGCTGGGCTTCAGTTGCCTGATAATTCAAAACAGCCAATCCTGAATGTTTGAAATGAAAAATATTTTGATTAATAAGATGATTACATGGAAGCCCAGTGAATTACTAATATTTTACTAAACTAAAATTTTAAATATTTTTTAGGTATTGTTGAATGTTATTAATAATTTTTTTCTGTAAAGCTAAATAGAAGTGGAAATAATCATTAAAAAGTTATAAGTATATTTACATGTTCATTCATCACAATAATTAATTTTAGTGTTGCTCTTTGAAAATGTTGTGTAATGACTTCCAAATTTTCTTTAATTTAAAGAAATCCTGTTTCTTTAGTTCTCTTAAGAGACATTTGAATAAAATGCATTAAATTCATTTTGAAACTTAAAAAAAGGCATTTTTAAAAAGTAATCATGTTTAGAAAAGCTCAAATAATGAAAAGATTCTGAATTATGTTACTGGATATTTCTAAATGTAATGTTGACACTAGTTATCACTTATTAAAGAATGTGTTTATATAAGTTGAAGCCTTAAGCATATGAGTATTAGTAGAGTCCAGACTAAGGAATCCATGGAAGGTTGCCCCTTCCATTCAAAATTTTCTGCTTCCTGCTTCAGTTAGTTCCTCTTTGTGGGTCGTGCTTCCCTCTTCCCTTGCCATCCACACTCTCGGCTTCTGGCTGTTTTAGTTGCTCCCAGATCACATTACAGGGGTGTTTATCCCATTCTCGTCACTACAAATCCCCTATCATGTGTTCACAGAATATGTTAATTTTGCTCTCTCAAATTTTATTTTTCTGACTTTCTGGGGATGGAACCTAGGACTAGGTCTTGAACCCAGGGCCTCATTGCATGTTCTGCCACTGAGCTTTACCTCTAGACCCCTGAATATTTTTAAAGATTTTAAAGATTGATCTAATTCAGTTTTTCAATACGTGAATTAAGTGAGGCCTATGAAGGTTATATAGGGAGTCATTTGATTCCAGGTTTAATTTTTCTACCATCCTCCCATTTTTCAGATTTATCCTAATCATCCTATGGCAGTTGATTGCTCTAAGTATTTAGAGCCTTCCCCTTCCCTGCACTAAACTACACATCTGGCATGTGTCCTTCTAAAGATAGCTGCAATCTGGCCAGAAGCTTCGTCATTCTATTGTTTGGAGACACTTTACAATTGAGAGACCACTGAAATTTATTTGGTAGTCCACTCCTTCCCTTTATTATCTTTGCCTGTTGTAGTCCCAACTTTCATTAACTTAGTTACAGTTAACCTTGTGTAACTGGTTACATCAAAAAAATTAGATAACAAGGGGCTGGAGAGATGGTTAAGAGCTCTGGCTGCTCTTGCAGAGGACCTGGGTTCTGTTCCCAGCACCCACAGGGCAGCTAACAACCATCTGTAACTCCAGTTCCAGGGAATCTGACACCCTCCTCTGACCTCCACAGCACTGCATACACATGGTGCACCTACATACATGCAGGCAAAATACTCATACATATAAAATATAAATAAAAAATTTGAATTAAAAAAATAGATTACAAGATAGTATGTGTGCCAAATGATTGTAAGCTATTTGCCTAAAGAGATCTAGAACAGTATTTTAAAACCATGCTCCTCTTTCATGTTAGATTCCTATTTAAATTTTTTATCATGTATGCAGAATTTCTGTCTTATATCCAAGGAGCTGTCTGGTTGCAATTTAAAGTACTGTAAATATTGACATTTACAAACAAAACTGTTGGTATATCACTTGTTTACTAATTAGAATAGCATAGAAAATAATGAGGTAAGATTTACAAAGAGTAATATGTCTATTTTTAAACTGTGTTTTTAAAAACATATTATTTATTATTTTCATTTTATGTGTATGAGTGTATTGCCTGCATGTATGTGAGTGCACCCCTGTCGTGCAATGCTACGGAGGTCAGAAGAGGGCTTCGGATTTCCCTGGAACGGGGGCCAAGGACAGTTCATAGCCGCCATGTGGGTGTGGGTGCTGGGAATCGAACCCGAGTTCTCTGCAAGAGCAGTCAGTGCTCTTAACCACTGAGCCATCTCTCCAGCCCTTAAACTGTGTTTTTAACACATTTTGAAAATTTATATACTCGCATAACCAATATCCTGATCAACAAAGATTATAAATATTATCGTGTTCTGCTTCCAAATAAACATTACCCATCCCTAGACAGTGATGAAATTGATACCTATCACCATAAATGAATTTTCCCACTGGTGGTATGTTTTGTAAGTACATTCACATAATAATTACTCTTTTTTAAGCTGGTGAGATGGCAGCAAGTAGAGGCACTTGCCACCAAGCATGACAGCCTGAGTTTGATCTCCAGGACAGACAGCAGAAAAAGAGAACTGACTCCTGCAAATCCCACCTCCATACTTGTGTACATACCCAAACACACACGTGCACGCATGCATGCGTGCACACACACAAATAAATTTAGTAATATAAAAATCAAAATAATACTCTTGAGTTTGGCTTCTTTTGTTCAACATTACTCATTTTGAGATTCAGCTAGATTGGCATACACAGAATAGTTCATTTTTTTCTCAGAGAAGTGTTCCAGTGCATGAAAATACCATCATAATTTGCCCATTCACCTATTGATTGATCAACTCTTTTTTCCTTTTGAGGCTGTTATAGATGAGTCTTTGGGTGAGGCTTTTGGTAGACATGCTTCAGTTGCTCTGGTTAAAATTACTACAAGCTGAATTTCTGGTCATTGGGCAAATATGTATTCAGTTTTATTTCAGGAAAAGTTATGCTATCAAAGAGTTATACTGCCTTACACCCCCATGGGCAGTATAGAAGAGTCCCAGGTGCTCAATTCATAATACCTGATACTGGTAATCCTTTTAAAAAATTTTTATTACAATATATTAGTTATGCATAATAGGTTTCATTATGATATTTTCATACATATATATAATGTACTTTGATCCTATTTACTCCTGTCACCCTTTCTTGTCCCACTCCTGATGATCAATTTCCTCTTCCCAAATAGCAGTTACCTGTTGCAAGGTGAGGATGGTCCATGAGGTCCACACCTTTATGCAGATTTATAGGCAATTTGTGGTTGCTGGAGGAGGGAGAGACGCTTTCTTCATTACTGTAGCCGGTGGCAAACTGCCCATGCACTTACAAACAATCTCTTGCCCATGCTTGTATAAGTAACTTTAATTAAACGCATCAGTTCATGCCCCCTCCCCTAAAAGACATTAAAATCCTCTTAATGTTACCCTAAAGATTGTAATGTTGGGTACTTGTTCATCATTGGGTTATTTGTGTATTTTTCATTTAGTGTTTGGCTAAGACTTTCGTATGTATTAAAATGTAGTTCTCTTTAAAGAATATTTGTTGTTGTGTGTGAGTGAGGGGGAAGGGTGCTCATGTCACACTTGTGGAGGTCAGAGGACAACTTTATAGAATTGGGTCTTTCCTTTTACTATGTATGTCCTGGGACTCAAACTCAGATTGCTGGGCTCGGTGGCAAGTGCCTATACTTTCTGAGTCATCTTGCAGGCCATGATGGCTATGTATTGTAGCAAAAGTCAGGTGTGATGGCACATGTCTTTAATCCCAGCACTTGGGAGGCAGAGGGAGGTAGATCTCTGTGAGTTTGAGGCCAGTCTGGTCTACATAGCAAATTCCAGGTCAGCCAGGGCTACCTATTGAGACCCTATCTCAAAAATAAAAAATAAAGTTAAAAAAGAACATGTAGTGAGACACAAAAGAGTAATTTTAAGAAAGAATATAATGTTGGAATAGATTAAAAGGAAGATAGTATGCGGTTGTAACCACTGAATAACAATGATCCCAAAAGAATAAAGAAAACCAAAGCTTGAAGTAAGGTTATGACTATTGATAGAGTTACATAAATCTATCTAAATAGACTCAGGTAAGTAGAGCTTATCTTTGTATTGTAGCTGGGGTGCTTTGCTGTTTTACCTGGCATTTCAGTAGCTCATGCTCGGGATTTGATGTGAAGGCCTGTAAAAGGCCTGAATTACTGTTGTCTATTTTAAAGTCTAGTCTATTTTCTTTGTTTTGTATTATTATTATTACCAATAATTTTGTCTTTTGGCTATACTTTTCTGCTTGATATTTCAGACCCTGTAGGTAGCCAAAAATTAACTTTGTTTTTGTTGTTGTTAAGGTCAGTATTATGAACTAGAAAAATGTGAACAAGAAAACTCAGTCACTAGCAACACACGTAAAGGGGACTGAGGGGATGGGGACTGGTAATAACTATTAAACCCAGAATATTCAACATATTGTTAAAGGAGAAGAACAAAGTTGAAGAATTGAGACCATGTGACCTCATGGCTTAATGTTAAGCTAGAGCTGTGCAGGGTCAAATTCACTGCTGAAAGGCACATGTGGCGTCTGGTTCCTTCTTCCCACCGTCCTTACAGAACCCGAGGCAAGAATTCTCCAAAACCGCTGTTTGGAAAATTCTAATGAGTTTATTGGACTTACTAACTGAGCTTGGGGTGCTGGTTTACTTACAGAATAGTGGGAGGTTCCCCCCCCCCATTTGTGGCTGCGCTGGAAAGCCCACACCCAAACATAAATCCTGTGACTTGCCGAGAGCCACACAAAATGTTGGGAGGCTGCCTAGTGGTGTTCTCAGCTTATATATCCGTAGCCCCTCCCCCTCATGCAGCTAAGGTCAACAGATTGGGTGGGAGGAGTAACTGGTCCCCCCCACACCTTGACTCCTTCCAAGGAGCTTGGGAAGGAGGTGGGAATATAGCTTGCTGCCATAGCGATTGGAGGAACTTCCAGGTAGCAAGTTAAGATAGTGTGCGGCTGGTGAGCAAATAGGCAGAGGAGAGAAGAGACTGGAGATCTCAGAAACAAGTCTGCATAAACAATCTACCGATCTTTGGCAAAAGACAGTATCACAGAGAAAAGCTAGACATTCCACCAAATGATCTTAGAACATCCACACAGAGAAAGTTAATCCAACCACAGAACTTGAAATCCACAAAGATTAACTCAAATGAGTTATGGATCCCAGTATAAAATACAAAACTTCTAGAAAATAATGTAAGAGGAACTATTATCTTAGGTGCTGCAATATTTAACATAAAACCCACAAAACACAATGTATTCCAAAAACTAATTGATAAAATAGACTTCCTTAACAAAGATGCTGTCAGGCAATAAAAAGACAAATTGCTGGAAAAAAATATCTGAAGAAGACATGTCTGATAAATGACTAGGAAAAATATATACAAATTTCTTAAAAATTTACAATAAAGAACAACTTGCTGTGGTGATGCCACATGCCTATGATCCCAGCACTCAATTGTGCAGGCAAAAGGACCAAGAGATCAAGGCTAGCCTCAGCTACAAGTTCAGCCTACGCTACATGAGACCTTGTCTAAAACAGCAACAAATCAACACCCCCAGCCATGACTTAAAAATGAGAAAAGAAGGTTAATGCTGTGGTGCACATCTGTAATCACAGCAAGAGAGTCAGGAGTTCAAAACCTGGGTTACATAGCAAGACCCTGTCTCAAAATTTAGTAAAATATTTGAAGAGATATCTCACCAAGGATGATACCCAAATAGCAAATGATCATATGACATACATCACTGGGGCATTAGAAATTAAAGCGACAGTGAAGTTGTTTAACATTGCACACCTCTTAGAATGGCCAGATCCAAAACACGTGGCCATACCAAATGCCTGTGAAGATGTGGAACAAGAACTCTCATGGCTGGTGGGAATGCTCAGTGGTTTTCCACTCTGGAACACGGTTTGACAGCTTCTTATACAACTCGGTATACTCTTACTGAACAGTTAGCAGTTGCTCCTTGGTAGGTATTCAAATGAGAAAAAAGTCTTGTATCCATTGCTCAGTGGTTTTCCACTCTGGAACACGGTTTGACAGCTTCTTAGACAACTCGGTATACTCTTACTGAACAGGTAGCAGTTGCTCCTTGGTAGGTATTCAAATGAGAAAAAAGTCTTGTATCCACACCTACCAAAAACTCTATGTACAATGTTTATAGGAATTTTATTCACAATTCCCCAAATTTGAAAGCAACTAAAATGTCCATCACTAGGTGGGTGGATAAACAGATTGAGGTACATCAAAATAATAGAATATTATTCAGTGTCGATCATCAAAATATGAGCTCACACGGGAAACTTACATACATATTACTTTGTAAACAAATCCAGTCTGAAAATGTGGCAGGCTGTGATTCCAATTATATTCTGTCAGGTACCCGCACTCAAGATGAACCTTCCCTCCTAAGTTAAACCTCTCTGGAAATACCCCAACGGACAGTCCAAGAGTTGTCTCCGAAGTAACTCAAAAGTCAAGTTAAACTGACAGTGAAGATTAGTCATCACACCAACCTGAGCAAATTAACACGTCCTTTATATTGTGTATGTGTCTATTATTATGGGAAATGCTTTTTTTTCATAACTTTTGGGTTTTTTAAGAGCACTGACTATTCTTGAAGAAGATGCAGGTTTGAATCCCAGCACCTACATAGCAGCTAATAACTGTTCATACCTCCAGTTCCGGGGAATCCAACACTCTCTTCTGTCCTCCAAGGGCAGTGCACGACGTGGGCGCACTTACACACATGCAGACATAACACTCATACACATAAAATAAAAATTAAAAATATGCACACACATTTTTTTTCAGTGATTCTGCAGCTCTAAATGACAAGTTAGGGGCCTTTGCCTTTATCAAGACATCACATCTAACCCTTTCATGGATGCTGATTGATCCATATAAATAAGAGGTAGACTGCTGAGATATTTGCATATCAGAAAGTAATCAGAAATCTGAAAACAAATTTCAGGAGATTTCTACCTCAATTAAATTTCAAGGGGTCCATGAGTATAACACAAATTGAGATATATACTGCATGTGTATGTGCGTGTTTATGGTGCTATGTGTGGGCGGTGCTTGCACATGAATGAGTGAGTGCCCATGCCCATGTGTACACATGTGGAGGCCAGAGAAGGATGTTGGGTGTCTTCCTCAGCTGCCGTCTGCCTTAGCCTAGAGACAAGATCTCTCACTGAACCAGATCTCTCACTTCCTTGCTTTGGCTAAGCTTGCTTGTCAACAATCTCCAGGGATTTGCTCGGCTCTGCCCCACCATGCTGGGGTTATGGGCACATGCAGCCATACTTTTCTTTTCTCCTGGGTTCTGGGGACACAAACTCAGGTCCTCATGCTTGCAGAGCAAGCACTTTTACTCACTGAGCTGTCTCCTCAGCTCTGTAATATGCTTTCTAAGGTAAAGTTATTGACTTCTTTTCCAACCAAAAAATAAACACTATGCCAGTTTTGCATTTTAGAGGTAACGTCCATCTTTTGAATGTGCTAATCTGGCCCGTTTACTGAGTGATCAGAAAAACTGCTATCAGAAGACTTCAGAAGGTCCAGGTTACCATGCACAGTGCCCTGTCACTTGAGTTACACAATCTAGCAGATCCAGTGCTTTAAATTTCAGCGATAGAGATGCTGTTTGGAGCTTTTGGTAGCCCTTCACCTGTGGACAATGATACTACTATTTAATTATAGAACCTGAACCTGGAGAGTCTAAAAGTTTGGAAGAAGAAAAACCTGATAAAGCAGAGGAGGAAGTTAAAAGAGAGGGCGATGAAGAAATAGAAATAAGCATAGAACAATCAACAATACCAGCCAATCTGGAACGACTTTGGTCTTTTTCCTGTGACTTAACCAAGGGCCTTAATGTGAGCAGCCTTGCCTGGAATAAAGTAAATACTGTAAGTCATTAAATACTTCAGCACGTTCCACCTCTAGCAATTAAAGGAAAATTCCTTTAAAGTTTTATTTCTCT